TATCGTTTAGTTTTATCTCTATTCAATTTGATCTATTTTGGTTTATCTCCATCATTGTCTATGTTTCTCCTTGGCATGTTAACATTACGAAATATTGAACGATCTAAACGACTTCTTGTGGCACCATTAAATAATTTGTCAAATCAACATAATCAAAATAATAAACAAATCAATAGACATATGCTTCGAATGTTATTTCTTCAAGTATTAATGTATTGTGTGACAGGATCAGCATACTCTGTTGGCGCAATTTATACAGCGATACGTACTAGTCAACCAAGTAATGTCTTTCAAGTAGCTCAATATAATATGATTACAGTAGTGCTTGGTTTACTTTCAAATAATGGTCCCTGCTTAAGTTTTTATTTATTTACACTTTCAAGTGGTCTATTTAGAAAAGAGCTGAAAAAACTATTTACCAAATTTAATCCAACTGCTAACGATCCACAACAAATTCAAACTCGACTACATCAGACAGGTTACGTCGGAATGACAACTAGACATCAATAATACTTCATCATATAGTTTTCTTTTACTTAGGAAATATATTTTCTGCCAGTTTACACTTGATGATATTTTATTTGTCAGATCTTATTTAAGAGAGGATGTGAGTGTCGATGTATCTGCGAATATTCTTCTGATTTGGCATCAACACCCACATCCCTTTTTTGTTAACATAAGCGAGATAAATCATATATTTCATTTTATACATCAATTACAGACACCGTTTCTTACATTTACGGAGTGTACTCGCTGCGCCTATACCCTTACTTATTTTCTAAATCTATGTATTCTAATTCTATCCATGTATTTCAACACTAATACTACAAAAAAAAGATTGAAACTTTATTAAATTAATCATTATATTATCAATCTTTGACTTTTCTATATTAAGAAAAAATATCACTAATAACTTTTTCCTCTTTATTCATGGTACATTGTTTATTTCTGTTAGTTATATATTGAAAAAACGAATTTACTACAAATGCAAGCAAAACTTTGATTTTTAGTAAAGAAAGAAAATAGAAATTTCAATTAATAAAGTAGTTAATATGAATATCATTTCTTACGAATTTTTTTTATAATTACAATTCGTTTCTCAATACATATTTTTTTCTGTTCTGTAATTATACGAAATAAGAAAGTGCTTCTACTTTCATCAAAATGTAAATTACAACCAAATTATTTTTATTTAGTTGTAAAAAAAACTTTTTTTCATGCCGTTGTTATCATCATTTTTAACAGAAAGAAGATCCAGACGTGATACCCCTTGTGTTAAACGACTAATTAGGTCGGCATGTTTGTTTTTGGTATACTCGCACACCTGCTTGGAATCAATGAATATTGTCAATCAAATACATACATCGAACGTTATTGTCAAATTTAATTAACTGAAGTCCTAGGTCCCTCGAAAGAAGGTCGATGGAAACTAGCGTGGAATATTACCATTTTCGATGAGAGAAATGATCGAATAGAATCAAGTTCTACATACTTTCTAAAATGGTAGGCTAGAAGTGTTGCACAAGAAAAAAGTAAGAATATTTTACTTGTTTTAAATTATTTTCTTTTCTTTTTTTTGAAATTAGTTAAATCAAATTTATTGATGTTATCGATTTCATAATTATCCTTCCACTGGAACATGGTCTTGATATTGTAATAAACCTACGAAATTAAAAGCATTTCGTTTTCTTTTTGCTTGTGCTGTCTTTTTTATTTTGGGATGTGTACTTTTTGTACTTAGAAAATATTATCCACGTCAATAAAGACGAAATGTTAACTTTTGATCGATTAGTTAACAAGATTGCTTCTTCCATTGAAGTTTGGCATAAAATTCTAGTAGAAAATAAAATTATTTTGTTGAAAAAAATCTTTATCATTTATATTTGACTATATAACTTAAGAGAGGGTGCGTGAGACCACCAAACAAGCCGTCCGGAGCCAAATTTTTTTTTTGAGATTTGACTAGGCCAAAAGAAAGATCATGTTAAGAAACCTATAAATCCAAAATATTAGCTTTTTCTGACTTTTCTATAAAAAAATTTTGTAGTCACAACTTATCATGTCTTCGAGTTAAAGAATGAAAATTGAAAAAAAAAATGTTTTTTTAATTTTCGTGGTATTTTGAGATTTTCTCAGCCATACTTCGGCGCTTGAAGGTCAGATTGGTCTTAAAAGATGCAGCAAAGAGTTTTACACAAAATGCTTAAATTGAAAAATCTCTACAAAATCTTCTAGTAATGAATATTTTTTCAACAATGCAAGGGGGGTCCCTAGTTTATAGAAGTCATTTCACCAGTAATTTGATTCTAATGACACCCCACAATTCTATCCCAGATAAATGAATATATTTTCTGAAAGCCCTTGAAATTCTGCATCTTTTGGTATATAACTCGAATTCAAAAAAAACTCGGACAATGCTTTAGTGTTGAACATACTTTGCGAAAATGTGACAAAATCCTAGCAAAACCATACATAATTTAAAAAATACTGCTTTTATTTTCATCTTTTTTCCCATAAATCTCCGCTCTAGAATAAAACAAATAACGTATTCAGAGTCAGCGAACAAAACTACATCAGTTAAAGTACTTTTTAGCAAAATTTGTTTTTTATGAAAATTTGACTGGGGGGGGTATACAGGGATAATTTTCGAAAGAGAGTCCTGAGGGGGACTACTGGTAACTATTCGTAAAATGTTAATTTTTCTTAAAAAACATCGTAATAATAGTATATTCGGGATCAGCAACAAAAACTGTACCAGTTTAAACACTTTTTCGCAAAAAAATTTTTTATTGAAATTTACCTCTGGTACCCCTCAGGTCTCTCTTTCGAAAATTATCCCTGTATACCCCCCCAGTCAAATTTTCATAAAAAACAAATTTTGCTAAAAAGTACTTTAACTGATGTAGTTTTGTTCGCTGACTCTGAATACGTTATTTGTTTTATTCTAGAGCGGAGATTTATGGGAAAAAAGATGAAAATAAAAGCAGTATTTTTTAAATTATGTATGGTTTTGCTAGGATTTTGTCACATTTTCGCAAAGTATGTTCAACACTAAAGCATTGTCCGAGTTTTTTTTGAATTCGAGTTATATACCAAAAGATGCAGAATTTCAAGGGCTTTCAGAAAATATATTCATTTATCTGGGATAGAATTGTGGGGTGTCATTAGAATCAAATTACTGGTGAAATGACTTCTATAAACTAGGGACCCCCCTTGCATTGTTGAAAAAATATTCATTACTAGAAGATTTTGTAGAGATTTTTCAATTTAAGCATTTTGTGTAAAACTCTTTGCTGCATCTTTTAAGACCAATCTGACCTTCAAGCGCCGAAGTATGGCTGAGAAAATCTCAAAATACCACGAAAATTAAAAAAACATTTTTTTTTTCAATTTTCATTCTTTAACTCGAAGACATGATAAGTTGTGACTACAAAATTTTTTTATAGAAAAGTCAGAAAAAGCTAATATTTTGGATTTATAGGTTTCTTAACATGATCTTTCTTTTGGCCTAGTCAAATCTCAAAAAAAAAATTTGGCTCCGGACGGTCCCTTATAAATTTGCCGGTATTCTGGCGGACCCTCTCTTAAGTATCACTGAATCATTTATTTTGAAAAATCTTATTATTATCCTGCGCTTTTAGAAAATTATTTATATTGACGTATTTATGCATATACAAAATCGTTGAATTTAAGAGTATGACTATTTTGTGTTACTTGAAAGTGATTCATTGTAAATAATATTGAATAATTTGATATTAATATAAAAGTATAATTAATTTTCGTAAAGATTGATTGCGTATCTTAATAAAAAGAAGCGACAGAAATGATTTAAATCAATTTATGAGACATATGTATGATATTTGAAATTGAGGGATGGGTGTGATCTATTCATATACCTACACCAACACTCTTGAAAATGCTCTGTGATGAAGCAAATATTTGAAAACAATGTAAAAAGAATGTAGTGATTCTGATTAAGAATACACTAGCAATGCTTTTAATTACTATGTTGTTCTGTATCAAGAGTAAACAATAAAACTCTCAAGAAATAATTCTTACTTTGTCGATCCTTTGTTAATATTTGCTATGAAACGATATAATGTCAGTAAATATGTTTTTGTGTAATTTCACTTTGTGTGACCAAACATATTGATGATATTAATATCGAAAATAGGTCAAAATTCGATCACTCTCAATGTGAAGCATATCGAAATTTCAATTTTTGTATGAAAATAATGTAATTTGAAATAGACGACTGCTATCGGCTTCCGAAGATACTCTTATTTTTTTTTCTAATCAAATAAATATGTAAATAGAATTTCTTTCACAGTATGATTTCATTCATTTGGTCGCTGACAAAAGAAAAGTTGGTAGCATCACTAAAATTGAATCTACTGGCCAAGTGATCTTAATAAACATGAGAGATAAAAGTATGTCGTTCACACGCATCTCTGTGAATTCTTATCGGCCTCGTGTTACCCACGTACGTCCAAGTGACATTCCATCGACTTTTAAGAGCAGCAACAACATTAATCCTGCTTTTGCATCGGTAAGTTTATTTATCTGTTTGAAGAAAATTACTTTATCTAAGTTTATATCTTATTCTCTAGCCAAGGAGCACACAGATGAAACCTATACAACGTAATAGATATGGAGACACCGAAGATCCATGGAAGGGAACTATGAGAAACGCAAATGTCAAAAAAAAATTCCAGATGTAAGTAGCCCAAAATATTGAATCATAGCTTTTGAAGATGTGCCGCGGTAAAAAATTTAATCTTATTATATTTAATGCTCTTTTTTTCTGAGTGTTCTTTATTCCGTAATATAATATTGAACATTTGTATGATCATACCAAAGTAAAAGTTTACTGAAAGTAAATTCGAATATTTGCTACGATTAAGAACACTTGTTCTGTTTTGATCAACTAATGAGAGCGATAATCTGTCAGTCATGTGTCACCTCATCAACTGGATAAATATACTTTATTCATTTTTATTATGATTTTTAATTGTAGTAAATGTTCTTACAGTCAACTTGCGTGTTGCTTTTGCTTGGCCATCACTCTTGCTCTTTTAGTGAGCACAGTCATTGGTACTGTACTTGCTATTGTCTTACGTAAGTATTCTGTCTCTTTTTATCATTTTTATTTATCTTTAAACAATATGATCATTAGCACATACAACCACCCTATCAACAACAGCCACGACTGCTACAACAACAACAGCAACAAGTAAGTAAAATTATTCTAATGATGAAAACAATTCTGTAAGATAACTAGTTTCGAATCAAACAATAGGATGACATATATATGCATATATTTCATCTAATAGAAACTTTTGATGGTTTCGACTGTTGCTCAATTTTGATTATTTACATATAATAAATTAAAGAATCTAGTAGGCGATCAAATTTGATACTTTGTCTGACTAAAACAAGCGCAGGTCTTGATTTTCAAGTTTATTGTAGGCTGCACCCAATAAGCCCGTAATCGATCTAAGATTTATCTAATAGATGCGATTTTAATTAAAAAGTAAATTTTAAGCTTGAGCACGCCACAACTAAATCGACCATTCGACCAGACTTAATAAGAAAAAAGAGAACTTTGGATTGTTTTATCCCGATGAATCTTGCTTTGAGTTCATTCGATCATATCAAAATACATTAAAAGGTGCTTGTGTTTAGAAAAAAATCTTTTAAGTTTAATGAAGTCCATTGTAATCTTCACGGTGGGTGTGGGTGTGTAGCAGGTGTGGCTGCAAGTGAGGGTGTAGTTATAGAATACAGAAGAAGCACCCACACCCACCCTACCCACATTCACACCCACCCTACCCACATTCACACCCACACCCTTTAGTCTTCTGTTAAACTACTCATCTAGTCCTTGACAAAAGATTAATAATCACGACATCTCATAAAGCTTTTCCTCTTAATACTATTTAACACACAATAATTTTTCTAATAATAGCTTCAACAACGACAACAAGTGTCACTACCAGCACCACTTCAACCTCGTCGACAAGTAAGTCAAAACATATTCTCACGGTAGTTTTGAGTTTGAGATGCAGTTAACATTTGACAAGTTCTACAATCTGATAGACATGGAGTCTTTTGAAAGAATAACGTTCCTTTTGATTGTATGAAAACTGTCTTAGATGATAGAATACAAAGATTTAATGTAACATTGTTGAAAAATAAAAGTCAAATCTTGAGATGAAATCTCTTAGATTAAATTCGATTTTATTAAACATGTACTCTTACAACTTTACGTCTTTTTCGATAGGTTCAACATCAACATCAACCACAACGTCATCCAGTAAGCAATAAGATTTGAAAACATGTTGACAACTAAAATATGTACTAATCTAGCTTCAACCTCGACAACAAGTACTTCGACCTCCAGTTCGACCTCGTCAACAAGTGCCACAACCAGCACGACCTCGTCAACAAGTACTTCAACAACAAGTATGGATGCAAACATATTTTGAATATATGATTGAAGATCTGGGTATCGATCGAGATCGAACTTGGCGGAATTTAATGATTTTGCTGAGAGTTGTCAGAGT